AGGATCAGGGGTAACCTTTAGAGATTTGTCATTGAAAACACATTTTTTATTTCAAATTCGACTTTTTTTTACTTCTATTAATATCTGACACATAATAAAACTATATTATGCAAAAAATAATCATTTTTTAACTCAAAAAAACCAGATGTCCGCCTGCTCTATGGAAAAATGCCCAGCAACGAATTGAATATTGAATCTTTTATCCTAAAGTAATAACTTACTTGTTGTGCAAATAATTGTGTTGTAATGTTACCTGATGTCGCCAAACAATCGTTTAATTCATTTAATGCATTATTAATAGTTTTCATTGAAGATGATGATCGTTGTTGTCTTTCATTTAAATAGAAAAAATCAAGAAATAGAACAAATAGTAATAAACTTGTTATAATTAATGTAAATAAAATAATAAAAATAATTTCATGACAAAATATTTTTTTATTTAATTTTGATGATCGTTTAAAAACTATATTTAAATGACGACGTGTTCGTTTTAATGAACTATGTGTTAAATAAAATCGTCGAAATAGAGGAAATGTGCCATCTTTTAGTGATGATGTGGTTGTTCGTTGAAATCTATAATTTCCATTATCAAATGATTCATGATGATGAAATGAAGATGAACGTAATCGAAATAATGATTTTTTTGTCCATTTTTTAACAGTATTCGTATGTTCATTTGTCGTTATTCTATTATTATCATTATTTTCAAATAATAAACTACTATTATCCATTTCTTGTTCCATTTAATCTTATATTAGTCAATTTTAATGAATAACTATGTTTTATTTTCATATCTATATATTATCATCTTAAATTAGATGCTGCTTCCTAGATAATTAAAGAAATATATATTGTTGTCTTACAAAAAAAAATATTTATGTAACATCGTGAAAATATTCGATATTAAACTAGGATTATTTCTTCTTCTTCTTTTTCTTCTTCTTCTTTTCGATGACATCTATGTTGATAAGATAATTACACATTAACCTTAACACATTCTCAAATAGACCTTCGAACTCTACAATAAATGGGTTAGATAAATAGACCTAGTAATAAAATAAATGGAAAATAACTATACGTCATGCATTTCTTTAAGACAAAACGACATTTATTTTTCTTGTCATATATGTGGGATTAATTGTCAACACACTATTCTATGACGTAGATATTATTTTTCTATCTTTCATCTATTATATTACCAGTTATCCATAAATATAGTTTTTCTATCGATACCATATAAAAAAAACAGTTAGAAGTGAGACAGAATCATGTTGTGTATAAATTTAATTATTTACTGATAAACACTGCCCTCGAAGTTGATAATATACAATGATTAATTGAGAATAACAATAACATAGGATAGGAGCCTTGGTACAATGAAGTTATATACATAAAAGAAGCCACAGTGTATCTAAAATTTGTTATTTAAAAACGTCCTTATGGATCCTCTAACTGATGCCACCATGGCTTGAAGCACCTTGAGCATAGATAATCGACCATACGACGGAGGTGAACGAGTCCGAGTCAACTCGACTCGCATTTTTCTATAGTTTGGACTCGAGATAAAAGGCTCAAGAAACTTGATAAACTGGCTTGAGTCACTTTCGAGTCAGTCATGTGTAACTTGTGATTGTTATGGTACAGGTTGTTCAATTTATTAAGCACAATAAGTCTAACAGAAAATTTTAAGCTCAAAATTTTTTAATTGCACTGGCTGCAAACTGACTTTAACACATAAACTTTCAAGTCCACTGAAGTTTCTAGCACTAAAAATGTTTTGACTATTCCAATATAAAATTCAAAGTTCAAATCAGTAGTTTATAGACCAAAAAATGCAGAATTTCGCGCTCTATTAGACTGTGTAACTTACAAATAAATCTGCGACTGTTTTTACCGGTAAAACTAGGGAATACTGGTTGTCGTTAAGATGACCGAAAAATAGGAGAAAATGACCTTTCTTAAAGTCTCTTTTTGGCTCTGATTTCATCTAAAAAACATTGTTTGTCATTAAAAAAAATATCATATTGTAGAAAATTTCTTGCTGAATTTTTCGGTATATCCTGTTCTGTTGAATACATGATTTTTAGCGAGTTGTTGCGAAAAAAATCGATTTCTTGAAGGTGCCCTTAAGAAGTTTGGAGCTTTTCCTGTTAGACTTACTGTGCCAAACAGATGAATATACTTAAAATGAATATACAATCTTGTAGAGAATTAAATTGTCTGTCGTTTGGTATAGTAAGGAATTTTTTTTCTGAAACGATTTATAAAGAAAACTGCATGCAAATCGTTTCAAAATAAATTGAACGACCTGTAGTGTTTACTGTATTTGTTATATACCAGAAGAAGGTGAGATTTGAGAATATTCTAAGTAGAACATTTTGTCAAGAGAGGATTGAAGACCTAGAAAAATGAATAAGGAGAAAGTTTTCCTCTAGAAAATGACTCGAGTCAACTTTCGATGCGACTGGAACTCAGATCTCGACTCGAAGGCTGCTGATTCGGAGTCGACTCATACTCGAAAAAGTGGTGACTCACCTCTACCGTGCTGAATATAATGCCAATGCTTGTTCAAACAAACGGCTCAAAAGTCTAGTGATATCCAAGATTTACGAAATAGTTTTATGTGAAAAAAGTTTGTTCGCCTATTTCATGAGATATTTTAAGAAATTAGTGTTTCACTAAAAAATGGTCCAGATCAGTTTTAAAAACTTTGGATTATAGTAAGCTTGATGTGCTGAACATGGGAGCAGTACTGTCATGCTGAAAAAACCCAAAAGACTGCTGATTTGCAAGACGACTTTTACGAACATTTTACGTGTAAAAAACTCATTTTTCGTTGTTGACAGAAATAAATCCACATTCAGTACATGCAAATAGACAAAAATCTTTTCTTGTAAATGATGTTTTATCAAAGTTTTTGAGAAGGAAACATTGAGACTATTGGGAAAAACTGTACTTCATTCTTTGTTTAAAGTTATTTTTCCCTCTCCCTCTTGCCATTTAGCATGCAATTATGCAACACCCTTCATCCGACTTTATTTGATCTATTTGCTCAATGGTGTCGGTCACTTCGTCAAGGATTCATAAAGTTTCCTTGCTCGCCAATAGAAACTTAAGATATGTTGATCGACGAATACACCTAATATCTTCGACCTTCCATACCATTTTTTGGAATGTTCCATCACGATTAGTTAGACAACGAGTATCTCTGCCTTTACGACTGAACTTAATATAAAGAAGAAAGTGATCTGGCGAAACACCAATTTTCCATACCAAAATGGTATGGAAGGGCGAAGATATTAGGTGCATTCGTTGGTCAACGTATATTAAAAAGTTTCTATTGGCGGGCAATTATAATGACCAATGAAGCGAATAATCGAAGTTTTCAATTGCGCGACTCAAAGGATATGGTGCTCGTCCAAAAGTTGCAGATGGATACCGCGGTTATTTGATTTCTTCAACCACTACTCAACGATGATCGTTAATATTATCTTTGGCCTTCGAAACTTTACGTTTGATTGCTTGCGATGGCAAGATGGAAGAACACGACTATACTGAAAATATTTACCATGGAGCTGTTATGCTACCAAACGGAGAAAGTGGAAACAAAGAATACTGCTTCATGGTAATTACGTACGCTACGAACAGAGAGTTACATTTATTTGAATTATGAATTATCTGTTGCTTTAAAATAGTTTTGATGTTACGTTAGGACGGAACAGCAACAACTCAATTGCGAGCTATGAATATTAATATCACTCTATTATGAAGTGTATTGATACTCAAACCAAGCAACTGAGAATGCTGCCAGTTCTTAATCTACAGTGATAGGTGCCTTTTCAAAACTTTCTTGTAAGTATGAAAACTTTTTTTCAAAACTACGGCAATTTGTTTTTTGCACTTATTCTGATCTTAAATAAAGCCCAACTTTAAAACTAAATAAAAAAGAAACATTCAAAAGCGCTGAATTCCCTCTCTGTCCTTGTTGGCTAGGCCATCATAGTAATCTTTGAAGCATATTTCTTACTGTCCTAGTCGATCTCTGTGCTCTGAAGCATTGAAAGTCTCGACCAGATCAGTTTTATAAAAATTGTCTGGGCAATTCTAAGCCATAATTCGCAGGACACACAATGCTTTTTTTGCTTCCATCTGCTATTCGTTAGTGTTTTTCACAAAAAAAATGCCATTTTGTCTGGTAGTTTTTCCTCTGGATAGCATAACTGAAGGGAGACAATGACTATCGATATGGTAACTCTGTTCTAATACAAGTACTGCCTTTAGAAGAGACACAAAGTTGGAAATTCACTCGAGAACTTTTTGTTCACTCCGTGGAAAACCGCGCCTTTAATTTTTCGATGTCTCCTTGAACATTTCTTTCTAATGTACTTTGCATTTCAGTATCAATACATTGCTTATCGTTTCATTTCTTTTTTTATATAGTCGACACAGATTTTAAAAAAAAATTTGTTTTGCTTTTCAACGGAAGAAGGCAGTCGTTTAAATCGATTGATGATGCAATCCCCTACCTTTTTTTTCTGCATTAATAAAATAAAAGTATACTAATAATAAAGAGAGAAACGACTGTTCTTCGACTGTTCTTCGACTTATTATTATTCATAATCGGTAGTCACAGTACTGACGGTGCCATCATGGACATACCCAATTTCTACGATTATCAAAGTTATGTAGGACATGTAGATGAAATAAATCCTAGATGGTGAAATTCACAACCATTTATTGATCTAAGCACAGGTTTTGTAAAAAGAGCTGAAACTATGGTACATTTCAGTCATCGTATGCAATTAGCAAAAAATTGATGGACATTATCCAAATAGTAAACATGCTAATTCGGCTCTACAGGATGCAGTGGAATATAACAATGATCATTTTACACAAACTGCATTTGGACATGTATATGTACCGGAAAATCCTCCTGTAATAGCTGATGCATCAAATACTGATGAATAAATATAAAAAATTTCAATGTATCACTTCTGAGTTCTGAGAATTGAATCAATCGACAAACTGGTTTCTGCAAAACAAACAAAATTTACCTACATAATATAAAACACAAACGAAAATAACTGCAATAAACATCCAGAAAGTCAATTGTCTATTATACAATTGAGAAGCAGAATGGGCAACTACTGCATTTGCATTTCTTTTACTTTGATTTATCGATGCTAATTCAACATTTTGTGCTTTCTAAAGTTGAAAGAAAACAATGGAAACCGTTTATATACAAGTTAAAACTCCTCTACACTGAAAAAAAGGTATTTTATTCGTTTCACTTCCCGAAACCCTTTTTTAAGTATGGTACGAACCTTCGAAACCTTTTTAAAGTTTCGTAGGCTTTCACAGGACCTTAAAAAGGTTTCGTAGGTTCGTACGATACCTAAAAGTGGTTTTGGGTTCGTTTCAATTCTTCTCGAACCCTTTTTAAGTTCCATACCGCACCTATTTTGTTTCAGTGTAGATTATAAATGTAGCAATCGTAAATTAATACGATCACAGAACTCACGGAACGTTCTTTGATAATATAAATTAATAGAAGCGCCGATTTTTCCATATCATTCAATATTTCATGCAGCATACGCATTGTCGTACTAAATGATATTCCTGCAGCTACAACCGATCCTAGAATTGGAATATATCGGCTGAATTCTTCGGCTACACCAGCTACTGCTTGTCCCTGAAGTAACATGAACACCAACTTTTGTATGTCAGTCAAAAAATAGACTGAAACTCTCCCAATTTGTTCTTTTAATTCTTTCAATGGAATTGTATGTAGTGTCGCGATTCGTTCCAAAGATTTATCATCGAGGCCGAGTTGCTTTTCATATTCTACAACAGCTTTGATAATAATTCCTTGATCGACTACAAACGATAAACCGGGCACTCGAATAGCTGCAACTCCTATGAGATATAGGACAAAGGTTAACAGAGAAACAGTCAGGTCAAGTGCGAGTGTCGAATTGAAGCAAGTACCTCCACTGAGTGTAGCCACCATCCATACTCGTAAACGTAATTCGTTTACCTTTGCTTTCATTACTTCTGATAGTTGAAATAAAAAGACAACGGTAGATATAGATAAAAGAGCGTCGAGCTGAATTTCTCATTTTCACAGTATTATTACACTCCCACCTTGACAATTCATTGTCATAGATAATATCACAGCTTGCCGCTTATAAGCTGGATATTCTTTTAACTGTGTTTCTATCATTAGTCCATAATCATATTTTGTTGTTTGACTTAACAGTCCAGAAATAACAAAAACTTTTGCATTGGGATCAACTTTTTTTATATATTCCAATGAATTATTTCTGATTCTTTCTAAAACTGTTTCCGTATCGAACGTTGCTGGATGATCTCTTGCTTCATTTATGAGATCTATATCTACATGCGTACGTACAAAGAAAAAAGATTTTTCATACTGTTTTACTTCTTGTGATAACCATAAATCATTTTCTGTAAAACGTGTACGACTGATAATAAGAAAAAAGTCATATTGCCCATAATTAACTTTTTCCAAATAAGTTGCCTTCGGAAAATTTGGAGTACCAACGCCCTGTAACAACAGAAAGAAAGAAACAAGATCAATTGGATCAATTAGTGAAACAAGACGGAATTATCTGCATTTGGATAATCAGCCACAGGACATTCGTACCGGTAAATCACAGAATTTCAAATTTGTATTTTCTGGATGTACATATTCTCTGACACAATCTGTCGTTTCAGTAACGCCTGTTGAAGCTGCACCTTCATCGTCTAAGTAAGGAAAGACCTTTAACATTCAACCGATAAAGTTCTTCTTAATTGTGTACAACCTGGATTCAATCCTCTAATTGTATTAATTAACATTGATTTTCCGCTACCAGATGCGCCTGTTATGGCAGCCCTCAATGGACTTGAACGCCATGCTGCGAAAGAAGAGAAACATTCAATATATAACGAATCTACATCTCAAAAAGCTTGTTAGAAAACTCACCGTTCAATCTGTTATTCAAAAAGTTTTCAAAACCACGAATACCATTGGCGTTAAAATATTCTGTAGCTAAAAAAGTAATAGTTGTCTCACTTATTCATAAAACGATGCAGCAATGATATTGACGGTCCGATATCTCCACAAATTCAGCCGATCTTTTGCTGATAAATAGCTGAGTATAATGTGTAACTTGTGTACTCGAAGTTACAGTAAAAATGGCAAGTAAGTACTCTGGACTTAATGCGATATTAATTGATTTTCAAACTATAACATTTAAAATAGAAAATTTCACATATAACGATGCATGAACTCGGCTCAAATGAGCTTAGCTTTTACATTTAGCTCTGCCAGCAAGCAATTCATTTCAAAGACTTGCCCACCATGGCCCAAAGAGAAAGCCGGAAAAGTTCCATATTCCACATTTATTTACTAAAACTGAGTTCACGTACAAATAGAAAAGAGAAAACAAACGTAACAAGAATTGTGAAAAAGCGACGTAAACTAATACTTCTCTTGTAAAGATTTCCAACCTATATGGATTTATGTATAAATATTAAAAATAAAGGACGAAAAATAAGTAAGCAAATACGTAGATAGGTAGTCTGCCACCAATATCACTTGTAGTTTCATGGAAAAATAGAATTTTCATTTACCTTAGTTTTATATTGCGTTTCGACTGCTTACTAAATCATTTATATTAACTGTAAGTTTTTTGGTTAACACTTACGGGGAAAGGGCCCAAGTGTGCAATCGCTTTTTATCGAAACTTAGTGGACGATAGGTAATCGACTATGCTAAATCCGAATATGACATCCGTTTGGGCTCTTAGACCTCCAGAGACTGGATTTCTGGAAAACCAGTTTTGCAGAAAATCTAAAAAATAACAAAAGCCTTTCTTAATGAGACATGATTGTAGCCCGCAAATTTTTGATTAAGATGAGACATCTCCCAGCTCTGCAGGATCATTCTTTGTAAAGTTATAGAATTTACAAGAATTTACACCCTCAATAATCTAAGTGCAAATGTACCATCGCTGGTCACATGTGTTGGCTACAAAAAAGCTTATGACAAAGTTGTTCACGAAATTTTTATTATCAAACTGTTTAAGTTAGAAATGCCGTTAAACCTGTTAAAGGCGATCTGAAACTGACTACGAGGCAGACAAGTCAAAATTATTTTTGAAAAATTTGGCTCAAATCCTTTTGTGATCGGAATAGGTTTACCTAAAGGCAGGTCGCTGTCGCCTATTTTGTTCATTATTTTTCATTGTGACCTGCCTAATAAGTTGGATGCGCACTCGAGTGGGATCTTTGCAGACGATCTGCAAGTAACAGTAACTCCACCAGTTAGACCAAAGTTAAGTCAAATGTTAAAGTATCTAGAGGAGTAGGGTCAGAGAGTGTGCAACAGAATCTTTCAGCATTCGGTTGACCATGAACAACCGATTAATTATAGTAAAACTGTTTCCAGATATTTCATTCTCAGATTAAGAGACTCACTATTTCTTTGTCAATGGCGGGTTATAGATTAGACCAAGTCATAACTTTTAAGTATCTAGGTTTCAGTTGGTCAGATAAGCTGTCCCTAAAACCGACTCTAAACAACGCAGTAGAAAAAATTCAAAAATCTTTGTTAAATTATGGTGGATATCAAAATGTAAACAAGGTTCAGATAAGCTAAGACGGCAGGGTTTTTCGCGTACTCATTTCCGTTTTTCTCATGTCTCTTTCCAATTTATACCCTTTTACCACGCACCCTCATCCAAATTTTAAACCGAAAGTTCAGGGTGGGACTTCACTTTGTACATAGACGTCCGTATGCCGATAGTGAGGAACTTTTTGACTTATGTGAGGAGGAATAGTTAGACTACTATGTTGTTAATTATTTAAAAAGGAGAATATTGCGCTTGTACGATTCTGATTTGTGCAACTCTCCTATCCTAGAAGATGTATTTTATTGGGACTATTATCACCCGGCTGAAAGATTGAAAACAGGACACTATTTTTACAACAAACGCGTCATAAAGCAAATAAAGACTCATAAATCTGTGCTGTTATCCTGGCTAGCCTTTTGTTCACGATAAAGAAGAGAAGTAACAGAGAGAAATTATCCTGGTTCTCGTTTTGCTTTTTTATACTTGGTCTTATTTTAACCTTTTCTAGTCAATTTAGTACAGTACATGGTTCAGGTAATATATAGGCCTTATTGTTGTAACTCTTTCCCGAAATGTAACATTTTTCTTTTTGTATTCTTAAAGTTCTTTTTTGTTTATAACTGTATTTATCAGTCTATTGTGAACCAACCCTTTTTTTTTGTAACAGCCCAAGAGCTTAACAATATATGGAAAGTCAAAAAATAAAAAAAAGCTCAAAGCAACAGAAATAAGAAGAAATTAATTTAGGGTTTTTCTTGTAAATTCTATAACTTTGCAAAGAAAGGTCATGCAGAGCTAGGAGATGTCTCATCTTAATCAAAAATTTGCGGGCTATAATCATGTCTCATTAAGAAAGGCTTTTGTTACTTTTTGGAGTTTCTGAAAAACTGGTCTCTAGAAATTCGGTCTCTAGAGGTCTAAGGGCCCAAACGGATGTCATATTCGATTGCCTATTGTCCACTAAGTTTTGAAAAAAAAGCGATTGCACACTTGAGACCTTTCCTCGTTAGTTTACTTTTAATTCAGTGATTGGAGAAGCCGTCGAAAATAATGAAATGCGTAGAACATAGACGTAGACTGTATTCTGCGCATAGAAAAAACGGAAGCGTAGAATATATTTTGGGTATCAATTTTTTTGATCACCAAAAAAGTGACTTTTGATCACCAAATTTATTAGCAGTGAAATGATCACCAAAAAATAAGACTTTTGATCACCAAATCAATTAAAGAAGTTTTAATTAAAG